TCATTCAGCTAATTGTTCTTCAGATAGGTTTCCTTATGTGGCTCTTACACCCAGTTAAAAGTTCCTTATCTGGAATGGGCCAACTTCTTCCCAACCTTTAAAATTATGACATTTATCCCTGCTAAATGGCTGCAAGTAAAGGGCTCTAGATATATTTACATAAAAGGTGGGTTCTGACATGGTGGCTAGATTTTCCTCTGATAGGCATCTGCACTCTGAGCAGGAACTATGCCTTTTCCCATAGGACAGATGTGCCAGTTTACCTTTCTCTGCCGAATATGGACTAAGAAATTCCTATGCTGACCATGAAACAGCAACCTATTCTATGGTAACGATTACGCTACGCTTTTAGTCCAAACATCAGCTGTAGAACTTTGTTTAAAGTCTTGTTGAATGCATTATTAGTAAATTGCATTCAGAGTTCTCTTATATAAATGCGCCATTGGTAAGTTTAACTATTTTCTTCTGTCCTGGACTATTATGGAATGCCCTCTCCTAATCACAAAGCCCTGCTACGTTTATCTAAGCTTGTGTTTAAGAAGAATAAGATGGAAACATTTGGGCGTCAATTAACAAAGACACAATTTCATGACCAGAGGTTAAAATGCTCCTAGTTTGGGTTTTTCCTAGGTATCACCAGTGATGAAAATTGCAGTGTGTATGGGAAGGTGGTCAATGCTATGTCAATTGGGGATTTGGAGCTAGCAGTAAAGTTAATTTGCCATTTTCCCCTTATGCATCTGGGTTTAACAGTCATGCCTGGTGTATGCCAGGGTAAAAGTGGAGTAGCTATTTTTCTGGGAAAGAGATCTAAAAGAAAAGAGTTGATCTGATGTCTCTTGGCTTCCTCCACCAAGCTGCTGTTATGCCAGAAGGCAGCGGAGGAACTTTGTTCTCCCAAGCTAAACACATGGTGTCTCCCTGGTGTGAGAAGGGAAGGTTAAATCTTAAGACTTCAAGCAGTCAGGTTTGCAGAGATGCAAACCAGTACTTGCTCACATATATATTTAATCACACATTCTGAAGAGTGGTGTGTGTGTGTGTGTGTGTGTGTGTGTGTGTGTGTGTTGGGGATGGGAAGAGTAGCACAGTGCAGAAAAACATCCCAAATCTCTATGGAAACACAGGATACATATTTTCTCTCAAATGGGAGTTTTACATCTTGATTTTTTAAAAAGAGACTCTCAGATCTTTAAGGTCAATTTCTAGTACATCAGTACAAAGCACATTACAATCCTTTTGCCTCCCTTCTTCTCACACATTAACCACCTTTGGCTTAGATTTTGAACCCAGCTCTTTCATACGCCAACTGCTATACCTGTGGCTATCGTTATCAAATACAGCAATCAAATATGTCCACATTTGACAAGGTTTGCTGCCAATGAAACCTTGATAAGAAAAGCCTTGGCCAACCCCAAAATACTTGCTCCAATCAAGCTAGAGTTCATATGCATGCAAAAGCAGATTTCTACCTGAATCTCTCTAGCAAGGAACTTTATGAGTGCTGGGCAATGCACAATTCAGCTGTCAAAGACTACGCACTGAAAACCTAGTTAGAAAATCAGTGACACTACATGTCAGCTCTCTGGTAGGAGAAAATGGGGCTGGATTTGGTTTCCCTTGCTCTCCTTCCAGTAAGACTGGCAGATTGACTGTTTTTCCAACAGAGCTGTGTGTACAGAGCGACAGCAACCTGTGATAAGCACATGGAACCATAGTTGACTATCCAAGACTTTGCATATACAGAGTGCTTAAGTATTATTCTGGGAGGACAGATCTCAACAGGATTATTAGTTTTTTGATTGGTGTTGGTCAGTTTGTAACCGATAAAACAGCTCTGTATAAGGTGGCACTTGAGAAAACTAGAAACAAGTGTGTTATGCCTAGTGCTATGTCTTGTCAAGGTGAACATCTAGTATAGAGCTATCCTGCTGAAAAGGATGTAAAGGGTTTTGATTTAAAGTCTATAATTTGTACAATGCCTTTTTTGGTGATGATTGCTCTTCTTCACAAAGGAGAAGTCAATCAATCCTTTTATTTGCAAAAACCAAGATAGATTGACTTCTCCTTTGTGCAGGAAACCCAAGGTGCCTGCCTTGTCAAAAACCGCTTCTGCAGCTTACATCAGTTTCCAAAGCAGTTTGGCCTACGGGACAGAGATCTGTTGCTTGATTTCTTACATTTCTGTGGTTCTTTGGATCTTAGCTGAAATTTCTTGGCATTTCTCTCTTTTTACACACACTACAAAAATGTGTGTGTGTGTCTTTCTGAAATCAGCCTAAAAACAAAAGTCATGTTAGTGAATATATTTCAGTGGGAAGTGTCCTATTTCTAGATGTACTTTATTGATAAAAGTAGATAGAATCAGCAACCAAGGCTACACACAAGGCAAAGCAAATTAATAAAACAGCTGCTTCTGGGACTCTAATTGTCCTCGGAGCTCTTTCCCCATTTGTGTCAAAGCCATTTTCTTTAAAAACCTAACAGTTGCTGTTTAAACTGAGACCTTAGCTGAAAGCTCTCCTGCTAGTCTTGCCCCAAATACAACCCTGGAATGGATTGCCTGCCAACCATTGGACATTTTTGGGGGAGGTTTTAAAAAAATACAATCTTTTATCAGTGCTCAAAACCTGCCAAGGTAATTAAAGGCCACGTTGCATATACAGGATATGAATGGAGAGCCCTGCAGACTTTCAAATGTTTAAATTATAAGGAGCAACTTGCTTTTTTAAACAGCTGCCTTGTAAGAGTGTCACTTTATTGTATGCAAAAGGAAAAACTAAATTTACAAATTTCACCATCACAATACATAATACATACCTTATTCCTTTTAACCATAATACATTAACTCTAAAAAAGTTTGTACTTCCCTCCCTCCTTCTGGTTTATCTATATTTTCTTTATATTCACGCATTTGTCATGTTTACATTTTATGTGTCCTTAATACTATGGAATAATACTATTCAAAATTTCATTAAATATACATTCTTCAATTGTTGTAATATATTTGTTCAATGTTCTTAAATCCAAAACGAATGATTTTTAATAAACATTATGAGGTCTATTTCAGTCCCGCAAGTGTCTTTATTTGTAAAAAATTGTGAAATTTGTAAAATCTGTAAAACCAATAAAGATCATTTAAAAAAAACCAAAAACAAAGGGAAGAACTGATGAGGCTACAATAAAGTTTTCGATATTGGTTCACTAAGCCTTTCATTTGTTTAAGTTGTTGTTCATATTTATGCTTCTTGTTGTGCCTGCATAGAGATATGAAAGCTCATAAAAATGTGGAGGGGGGGCACAGGTTTCACCCTATTTTCACAAAGCAGTTCCCCCCACTCCCCCCCCCATGGAAAGTTTTGGACATGTGAAAGGGTAAAGGCACTTGTTTCAACCCAGACAAACCATCAGTTTCTAGACATCCATGATAAATATGATAACAATTATAAAGCAGCAGAAACTGACAGTGATATCTTAATAACGAGACTGATTAAACTTCATATAGTATTGAGTCTTTGTCTTGCCCCTGCTCACCCTGTGTTTTCGCAGCTCCTTTTATGGAAGAAATGCCTTTTGTCTGCCTGAACGTGTGAAGGGCTTCTACTCCTACTCAGAGTAGACATACTGAAGTCAATAGGAATGAGGGATGTCCAGTGATGGCCATCTGTGAACGGAACGTATTTCAGCTGCTGCAACAGTCCTTCACCTTTATTTCTTCCCCCTATAGCCAACCACGTACCCCCAAAGTCTGCTGTGGAGGGTGGGGGACCCTCTGGGACAGGTTTGGTGAGGGCACAGGAGATGAAGAAGGGGACACTCAAACATCATTAGATGTCACCCTGTTGCTGCAGTCCTGCCCATCACAGATGGGAAACCTGTGGCCCTTCAGATGTTGTTAGACCGCAACTCCCACCATCCCTGGCTACTGGCTGGGCTGACTGGGGCTAATGGGAGTCCAACAACTCCTGGAGGACCAGATGTTCCTTATCCCTGCTATCTATGCTTGGGAGTAAAGTTATTTTAGGTTTATTTATAGGCTCTTTTGGAGGGAGGCACAGCCTCCCTCCCAAATCTCATTGAACTAGGCAGGACTTCCTTCCAAATAAACATCGATAAGATCGGGCTTTCTCAAAATAGATCATCTGAGTAGGAATTCAAAAGTTGCTAGACACAGGTAACTAGTGAGTGGGATGGATTACCAAAAGGTAATTGGAATAATAAGGATAAGCTTGGTTTCTTTTTTTTTTTAAGGAACTTCAAAATCTTCTCAACTGTGTGTACATGTGATATATAAGCAGTGGGACCTACAGCCAATTGTAGCTTCTAAGCCTGTGGAGATGATGGTCTCCATTTTTTTGCATTTTTAAAACACATGATTTCTCAGTAGGAAATGAGAAATGTGTTACAAGTTGCTTGTTTCATATGAATAGAAATAATGTTTGTAGTGTTAGTGTCTCCCAAGTTTTCATTCTTCCCTTCATCAAACAGAAATGGATCCTCTCACCTGCCAGCCGCACTAGACTCTAATACGTACTTAAAGCATTTATCATCAAATTGTGACTGAAGACAGATTAATAAGGGAGAGGCACAAACTGTATGTTTAAGGCTTCAACCCAAAAACACATATCTGAGAGTAAATTCCATTCAAATTCCAGGTAGACATGCATAGGACTGCACTGTGAAAAGCACCTTGCATCATCCTTACCTATAACTATTAATCAAATATATTCATCACACAAATGATGTCCCAGGTGCTATGCAGGGCATAGAGGGGACATATTCTCTGCGCAGACAACTTACCATTTAAAGGCCAAATCAGTTTGCTTATAGAAATGCTGTATTTGAAACCAGTGGGGCCTAATTCCAAGTTTAATGCTTAAGAAATGAGGTGCCAATATAGCTACCTTAACATTACCTCCCCCCACCCCCAAAATGCCCTTCTGCTGTGCACAATGTGAAATTATTATATGTCAACGGAAGCCAAGCATGGGAGGCAAGTGGCAGATGTATTCATTTTTATTATTTAACCATCAGGAACACACTTCATCCCTTTTCAGAATTTGTTTATCTATTTAATAGAGAAATAAAAATAGTGCAACAACTGTGGCTCTCACTTGTCTAACTATTGGAATTGTCCATAATATACAAATCTATAAGGCACTGCTTGACTGCTTCCCAGCTTGTTGAGTTGCTCAGCATGCACATTCTGCAGGAATAAGAGCTCCATGTCAAACTGCTGGGCCATTCATTATTAGAACAGCAAGGCCCTCTTCTGGATTGTAATCAGAATACGGTCAAGGAACAACCCAATAAGCACTGAAGTGCCAGCTCTAAGCTTTAGGCATTTCTTATTGCCATTTTCCTGCCTAGTTACCTTATACTAAGAAAAGTTCCTCTGGAAATCTACTTCTCAATATTCCTCTTTGACCTCTTTTTTTTTTTAAAAAAAAGAACAATAAAGCAATGTATGAATCTTATGAAACAAAATATTCATTCAAAAATACTGGGTATGCTAGACTTCCGTTTTCAAGGCGGTTTTCTATCACAAGCATATAAGAAAAAGAAACTGTCTGTTTGCTAACTGTAGTGACAACGTAACCTGAAAAAGTACACACAACCAAACATGGTCATAAACCATGGTTTGTCAACTCAGACATCATGAACAAACCATAGTCAAGCTTTCTTAATCATGAATGTCTTAATTGAGCTCAATATAAACAAGCCATTGTCTGGGATTTGCTAGCTTACCTTCGAATTCCTCCAAATTATGTATACATTGGAAACGTGCACTACAGTGATGAGGAAAGCAGTTTACTTTTAAGTAATACCAACTATAAATCTGTCTAGGATACAAGGCAAAGGGCTGTAGCACAGTGGAAGAGCAAATGTTTTATGGGGAGAAGGTCCCAATTTCATCCCCGTTTCCAGTTAAGTAGTCCGTAGGTGTTGTCAATCAGAATACGTAATCGTAGCCTAGATAGACCAATGGTCTGACTCAATATGACAGCTTCGTATGTCCTAGAGCTATTAAGACTGGTCCTCATGACAGTTTTCAGCATAACAGCCACTGCTCACACAGGTTTCTAGCTGCTGACGCCATGAGTAGATGTGGTGGTTCTGTTCTGGCTGATGAGGCATACAGAACTCTGAGACCACTGAATTTTTGTATGTTGTTAAGTGGTTTAAATGTAAACAGAACTTGGTATGTGCACTGGCCGGTATATCATCATGTGTGTGCATGGCATCAGTGGCAAGAAGTCAGCATACCTGCCAAACTAAGGACTTTCGGGATAGTTGGTCTTCCAGCTGATCAGTTCAAAATTAGTAGGGCTACAACAGTGTCATATTAACTATTTAATTATTGGAGGATACCACTCCTTTCTATTGTTCCTTATAAGAAGCCAAACATTTTAACCAAAAGCCATATTTGACAATTTGATTATTATCTTTCAATCAGTGATACTTTTGGACATTTTACAGAGTAACAGACATGTTTTTCTCCACCTCTCAGGACTAAATACCATAGCTGAGGGAAGGTCAATACTGGCCAGCCTTTTCAAAGACTTGTCATTCTTCCAGCTTTGCTTTACTATCCATCACAACCACTCATTTACTGCATTCCTTTCTTCGAACTTTTGATTTTGGTGCTGCCACAAGAAAAGAAAACATAAGCATTAATGTTCAAAGATGCAAAAGCCAACATGAATTAGAACAAGAGGGTAATTACCATTTGGATTTTCTTGTCTGTAGAAGGTTTTCAGCATTTCAACAGCTTCTTCAGATCGATAACCAGCTATGCACTGTAGAGATTGGAATATTTTGTTCATAAGGCCTCCCAGATTAACCAGCTTGTATCCCAAAGAGGTTATCTGACTCTTTAGTAGCATAAAGAACGTCAGCAGATGTGACTTCTGATATCACTGTGTTCAACTTCCAGGGGCAAAAGAAAATCCACTGAACAACTTCATACTGGAGTTTTTTTAAAGGCAAAGCAATACCTTTCAATAACAAAAATGGCTTACCACTGAGGGTATCCAATTTACACATGTAAATAGCACGTTTCCAAACCGTTATTATATTCATCTTGACTGGCTTACAGATAATAACCATAGTGTGATAGCCTGGTTTGTAGGGATAGCTTAAAATAACAGTTTCCTGGTTTGGACATTAGAAGCAACTGTGGTTTAACAAGCCTCCAAAGTAATGAATGAAGGCATATGAGAGAAGGGAAGTGAGAGTGTGCCCATAAACAGGCTCTTCCCATTCCAACCTACCATGGTTTGTGGAACAGGAATCTATGAGTTTGTGCCAAGGAACTTGCCTTTGGGGTGTGTTTTTCCCCTAGCAGCAAAACGTCCTTGACATATCAAAATAATTTAGTTATGTTGCAACTTTTTCCACTCACAAATCTTTCCCTGTTATCATTTATTTCTTGACATGTGTGAGTGAAAGTGACAGTGCTTACACACATACACAAAATAGGATGCTTTCAATGAATGCCCTAATTTAAACGGTATGCACGCACATGGTGGAATAATTTATACGCAGCCATTAACTGCAATTGTTTGAGAATGGAAATCAAATTTCTTAAATGCAAGACATTTCTTCTCACATAGTTGCCATGATGTAGAGCTAGTGTCATCACTATGCTAAATGTCAGGGTAAATAAAGTGCCCTTTTTTCTCTTTTAAACAAAATTACAACCAATTCTGTTCCTATAATGGTTTCCAACTATTCTGATAAACCTTCATCCATACAAGTGTATTATTTATTAAGTTTACAACCTGCTCTTTGTTTTTAAAGGGAGGATACATAAGATTTATTGTGGTCTTTCACCCATGGACTACTCAGATCCACTTAGCTTCACCAATGCTGCACAATTAAGTGCTCCCTAACCATTCAATGAATCCATTTTGATTGTAGCTAATTTTACAATTTATGGTTTGCATTCCCTCACACCTCAAACAAGGATGAATTATAATCTTCTCCATAAAATAAAGGAGCCCTGAAGATGCTATATTATGGAAGAACACTCCAGCCTGCTATTTCTGTTTGGGGTGGGGGGGTGGGAAGAGAGTGGCTGCTCTAGATCCTAAAGCTATTTGCAGTCTCTCTGAATGTTGATTCAGCACCAAACTATCACTGCAGAAATCCTGACACAATGGTGCTAAAGATGAATTTCAGTGGTAGTTTCAGAATTAAAGTACTGACAACGATGCAGCTTTAGAATAATTTCTCTCTGGATAAGGTTGTATCATCAACCTGCACTTGGTTCTTCTACACCAGTGGTGGCCAAACCTGGCCCTCCAGCGGTTTTGGGACTACAATTCCCATCATCCCTGACCACTGGTCCTGTTAGCTAGGGATGATGGAAGTTGTAGCCCAAAAACAGATGGAGGGCCAAGTTTGGCCACTGATGTCTACACACTTTCATTTTTGTTGTTGTTTTTTAAAAACACACACATCCGTGACAAGTATTTCACCTGGAATGGTTCCCCTGTGTCCGTTAAGGTAGCAGAAGAGATGTTCAAAACCGAACCACAGCCTCCGAATCGTTCATTCTGGCAGCCATATACAACCAGTGGGATTTATATATGTAAGTTAAGAAAAGAAAGAGTATAGAATAGAATTACCCTCATTTAATAGGCTATATTGTTGTGCTGGTCTCAAACCCATTCCTCCCTCCTTTCTCATGTATGATATAAATTCCTCTTTTCCACAGACACACTACTGCCTGGTCATATCTCTGGGGCATATCTTCCCCCACTTAATTCAACTCCTTTGCTGCTAATTCACTGTTTCCCTCTGCCCACAATCTGAGAGCAATAACTACCACTACTGTATCCTTTCCAAATTTCCTAACCTAGACTTGCCATACGTCAGGAAAATTCCTGACATGCCCTGGTTTTTGGGTGTAAAAATTGCGTTGGGTGAATTGCCAAAATGTCAGGGAAAACCCAGATGTATGGCAATGTGTGTGTGGGGGGGGGGGGAAGCAGTGGAAACAGCTCCAAAAGCTTAAAGTCACTATTGGGGGGGGGAGGTTTCCCCCCAAAAAAGCTCAACAATGTGGGTTTGTTTCCAAAAAAAAGCTAAACAATTTTGGGGTCCTCAAGAGTAAACCAGCTGGGTGGGCAGGTTATGCTTGCTCAACAACTTTGCGGGTGTCAGGAATTTTACTTATTGAAATGCAGCAACCCTATCCTAACCCAGAGCAGAGATGGCACAATACACTTTGGCCCCTGAGGCACAAGCACCACCCAGGGAAGGTAATACAGTGGTACCCGCAAGACGAACGCCTCGCGAGACGAAAAACTCGCAAAACGAAAGGTTTTTTCGTTTTCGAGTTGCCTCGCAAGACGAATTTCCCTATGGGCTTGCTTCGCAAAACGAAGCTTGCCCCGGGGACAGCGGGTCTTCTCTTTTGAAGCAAGGGGCGGCGGGGAGATCGCTTCTCCCCACCGCCCCTTGCTTCAAAAGAGGTCTGCCCCCGGACCTCTTTTGAAGCAAGGGGCTGCGGGGAGATCGCTTCTCCCGGTGCTCCGAAGCGGGGTGGGGGGGGGCGGGAACACCTGCCCCAGCCGCCGGGCTTCGTAGCGCTGCTGCGAAGCCAGGCGGGGGGCGGCAACACTCTGCCCCAGCCACCCCGCTTCGGAACGCTGCTCCGAAGCGGGGTGGGGGGGCGGGAACACTTGCCCCAGCCACCGGGCTTCGTAGCGCTGCTGCGAAGCCGGGTGGGGGGCGGGAACACCTGCCCCAGCCACCCCGCTTCGGAACGCTGCTCCGAAGCGGGGTGGGGGGGCGGGACACCTGCCCCAACCGCCGGGCTTCGTAGCGCTGCTGCGAAGCCGGGCCGGGGGGGGGGCGGGAACACCTTCTGAAGGCGGACGGGGGGCGAAAGTCTTTGTCCCCCCTGCCTGCCTTCGCAGGGGCTTTTAAATCGCCCCGGACAGCGGAGAAGTCCTCCGCTGTCCCGGGGCGATTTTAAAATGCCGCCCCGCCAGCAGTCCTCCGCTGTCCCAGGGTTTTTTAAAATGCTGGGGGTGGGAAGAAAAGCCCTTGTCCCCCCCCCAGCCTTCAGAAGAGGTCCGGGGACAGTCTGTCCCCGGACCTGGTCTGAAGGCGGTTTCCCTAGGAACGCATTAATTGATTTTCAATGCATTCCTATGGGAAACCGTGCATCGCAAGACGAAAAAACCGCAAGACGAAGAGACTTGCGGAACGAATTAATTTCGTCTTGCGAGGCACCACTGTAAATATAAACTAAGTCATGATAACCCCAAAGATTGCCACCTGATGCAAGCTGCCTCACCCTGCTTCATTGTAGCATTGGCTACACCCGGCACCCATTCCTTGCTTAGACTCACCCACACAAATACTTGCTAAATTAAACTTCTTCTCCTTAGGTGCAGAACTTGGGAAATAGCAGAGGGACATAGAAATGCGCTCTGCTTGTTGGCTTTCCTAGGATCTGGTTCAGCACAGTAGAAAACAGATGCTGGACCAGTTACGTCTTTGAACTTGTCCAGCACAGCTCTCCTTACGCCCATCATCTCTGCACAAACAAATCCCCTTAGACCCAATGACACAGGCCTCATGTCAACACAGAGCTGCCCTCTGTTAGCTTGTTAGCAACCGATACATGAGATGAAATTAACATACCAATGGATAATTCTCCAAAGGATACTCATCATTCGCAGAGCAGCTGCACACATTATACAGGGCTCTACAGTGACATATAGCACTGTGTTTGCAAATACTTCCTTGGGTTCCTTCTTGTTCTGACGACACCAGTCCATGACCTGATCAATTGCTACCATTTCTGCATGGCGAGTAGCCTGTGGGGATACAGGGAAATGACATCAGTATTTACACCAAATAGTAATGTATCAATCTGAATGGATGGATTCCTGCTATTTTTAGTAGGAAGGCAATAGGGTAGGATCTTCAGTGATGCCAAAGCTTAACCACTAAAACCATAAAAAAGATGGTCATAATAACTGCAGAAATTTCATTTCAAAGCAGTATATTTCCTCTTGTAAAATAGAAAAGCAGAGTATGTTGTTGGCACTTTATTGAAAAGTTCTTCCTTATCAAAATCTGCTATAAAGGGAAAATGCACAATACATCTGTTTCTCTTTATCCTTGGTTAACAAATGTTATGTCAATCAGCTTTTCCATTATTGAAAACATCCCAGTTTTTACCCAGATTACCATTCATGCAAGGACAGAGAGGTCAGACAGAAAGTGGCCAGTTGGGGGGAAATGCTCAGCTACAGGCAAAATGCTTTCCTTACTTGTCAAGATATCAACATCCTTATTTTGTATCTAACTCAGTCTATGAATAAATATGAGGGAGGCGATGAGACCTACTAGTCATAAGAGCTCAAAGGATACCATGGAAGACACCCTCCCTCTTTCAACAGCTTTAGGCATGTTCACATATTCCATCTACAGTCACTTTCAATTAGGAACATTTGAAAATGCTTCTAGGCTCAATAGAATGTCAGTATTGTTCACAGACAGACCAAATACCTCCATTTCATTCATTTATTTACATTTTGATATTCTTTACCCTGATCATAAGCTGACAAGGCTTACATAAAAAATTCGTTTAAAATAGGAACAATGACACACACACACACACACACACACACACAGAGAGAGAGAGAGAGAGAGATGAAACAGGATTCAAAAAAACAAGAATTAAAAGATTTGGGAAGATAAAAAGAGCAGACTCAATGTCTCTGGGGAAAACACTTCAGTGCTTGGAGGCTACAACCATTGGTCTGGCTTCACCTCCAATGGCAGTGGGACCAGAGAACAGGCTCTGAGGAACATCGTCATACTTGAACAGATTCATGTAGGAGAAGGCACCCAAGATTGAAAGTCATTTCAGCCTTTAGAGACTAAAACCAGTCCAAAGAATTGTGCTCAGAAATAGACTTGGAGCAGTTATTTCAAGGCTGGCAAGTTATGATCTGGATGTCAGTTCTCACTTAGCAGTCTAGCCACTGCATAATGAACTTATTGTTATGTCCATTCCTCAAACACAACCCCATGTACAAAACATTATACTAGCCCAAATAGGAGATTAACAAGAGCATGGATAGGAACTGCAGTTGGTGCATTAGCCTAAATGCTTTAACACACCATTTAGCGACAAAACAAAACACATATTTTGATAAGAGATGTTTAAAGCTATTTAAGGCTGCTTGGCTTATGATAAATGAAGCCTATATATTTCATTGAATTCCACTTCTTTACCACTCTGTTGCTGTTAAGATAGCGATCAAAGACAGGAAGCAAATTAATCATTGGGTAGATTAATTACTGTTCTGTCTTAATATGCTAAAGTTTTAAGAACATTATTTTAAATCCCTTCAGGTAGACTGTTTGCCTTGCAATAACTTGTTCCACAAATGATTTCAGATCAAAGTAGAGATCTAAAAGTAAATAACTGATAGCAAGTACATACCAAACAGAATTATTAGTATCTTATGTATTTGTCTGTAAACCAATGTTATAAGACACTTTTGCAAATGAATTTATATTTTAGCCAGCCTTCCGAAAGATCAGGATCAGCAGACACCATGAACAGTGTCAAGCACTCCAGGAAATGTTCAGCCACCTTCTTTGTCCCAGAGCTGATACTATCATGATTATTATTATTAAAATTTGTTTACTGACCATTCAAAGATTTCAGGCCAGTTCACAGCATCCCTACACACCTAATAGTCCTCTCAGTTCTTGTACTTACCTTTTATGAATCCAGTCATGGTCCGCTTTTTGGAGGGGAGGTTTGCTATCACAGCACAGCTTTTCCCCTCCCAATCTCCTCCTTGTGGGGACTCACATGGAACCCATTCTTGTGAATGAATTTGCAACACACATCTTATTCTTTAGCCCCTCCAGCTACACTGATAGCCTCCAATGGTGGGAATGGGCAACTACTTCACTACAGCAGTAACTAAGGGAGAACTTAAGATATATACACATTTGAAACTATTCTTATCATCATGCTAGTCCTATAAAACAAAGGACAGACTGTCAGACTAGGAGTGTTAATGTGTTAGGATACTGGTTTAAATGCACCGTGATTTCATGCTGTACCACACTAGTTACTTCTTATAAGAATGATCTTGTTATTTTTCTATAAATTAACTCTTTTTGGAACAATTCTGTGTGAGAGCATATTTGTGGGTATAGGATAAGTTAAGCACCTATTCAGGGCAGTGCACAACCATCTCTACACAAAATATCTTATTTCTCAGGAGCTGGACAGACATAGGAACTCCCCCCCCCCACATGTAACTGTTTGATCATAGAAGTCCTAATATCTTGGGCACAGTTTATTTGAAATACTGCATCCTAATATGCATCCTATGTGGTGAGATTGCCATCACCACAATGCAGTTAGATCATCCAAGGAAGTGTACTTTCCCTGCCATCCAAGGTACAGTGGTACCTCGGGTTAAGTACTTAATTCATTCCGGAGGTCTGTTCTTAACCTAAAACTGTTCTTAACCTGAAGCACCACTTTAGCTAACGGGGCCTCCTGCTGCCGCCGCGCCGCCGGAGCACGATTTCTGTTCTCATCCTGAAGCAACGTTCTTAACCTGAGGTCATATTTCTGGATTAGCGGAGTCTGTAACCTAAAGTGTATGGAACCTGAAGCGTATTTAACTCGAGATATCACTGTAATATTGTTACACTGTTACCTTGATGCTTTGAATTTTGCCCTTGATTGTGAGCAACTCAGAGAGATCTGTTAGGTTTGCTGTGCTATGTAATATATGCATACTCAAATGACCAACTGGATGCTAGAGGTTATCGCTGAAACATCTTCAAAGGCAAACCAGGTGGGTGGGCAGGTTATGCTTGCAAGTGAGGTTTAGTGTGCCAGATAACTGTTACAGCCAAAAAGAACAAACAATGCACGTTCAAAGAGAAACAGAAGCATGAAGGAGGGAAAACAAGAGCAGGCAAGGAAGCTGCCAAAGGGAAAAACATGCTGGTAATATTTGCTCCATCTCCTGCCAGACAATTCAGAAGGGTCAGCTCAGAGAAGTATTGGCTGCACTATCTGAACAGTGAACTCCCCCAGCTGCAGATGAAAACAAGTCTATTATGTTGTTCAACATACAATCCAGCTCAGGATCACTTCTCACATTTTGTACTCGGGCACAGATACCAGAGCTTAAAAAAACCCACACAGCCACAACAAAAACATGCATGCATTTTGTGAATGGAATACTGTCAGTAAACTGCAACTTTTCTTGGCAAATATTTATAAAAATAAAATGAAAAACACATCAACTTTTGATCAGAAAATCTTTGAGATTGTTAACAAAGTTAAAATGTTTTTTTTAAAAAAATAAATAAATAAACACCACTGTATCAGCTTTAGCTGTGTCCTGAAAATATTTCAGTGAAAAGCTGCTGCTTTTAAGAATTATACTATTTTTTTTAAAAAAAAAAATTAATTAAAATGCACTTGTATTAATATGCAGAAAGGCCGGATACAGTTACGATAAAAACACAGAAGCTGAAACAACAAATCAAAGGACCAAAAGTAATGAAAATGAATTCTCACCAGCATTCAGAAATCAGTGCTATGCCAAATGCCTTGTAGAAAAGGAATGTTGTCATGGCCCTTCTGAATTACAGTAGGAAGGGTTCCAGGTGATATTTCTCCTATTGGAAGATGTTCAAGAGTTGCAGAGAACTACTTAAAACACAGTGCTTTACACACCTAATTTCCAGAAAGAAGGAGCACAAACATGCAAATATTCCAGAGACAGCACTCAGAAGTTACACAAGATGCATGTTTTTGGACTGCAAAAATGATTACAATTATACCAACTTAAGGAGTTTTTACCCACATATGCAGTGCAGTGATTTACATTAGCTTAATTCAGTTAAATAACTTACATTTTTAGTTTCATTAACTTCATTCTTTCCCTTTCCTATGATCTCATTATTGTAGACCATGAGGCAACCAACAGGTACTTCACCACTCTCTAGTGCTTCTTTAGCCTATCAGACACAAAATGAATCAACAAGAGCAGTTTTATCACTGATTATATACACCAAGGCAAAGTACATTGCGTTCCAAATCCTCAAACCCCACAAGCCAGCATTAATGAAAGCAGCCAATTCCAATATATTCTTACCCAAGGATTACTCTCAAGAGTAAGGGTGGAAATTATTCTGTTCCCCACTTTTCATATAAGCAGCAAAGGCACCCATGTTAGAACACAATAAAAATTCAAAAACCCACATTAGGGCAATATCTAGCCAACTGCAATAATATCACAAATTTGAGTGCATGCTTTCAAGTTCTCCTGAACTTTTCATCAGGCTAGATGTTAAATGAAACCAAAATGCAGGGCAGGGAAGAGAAGAGAATTATATTTTGCTACCCCTTATCTACATCTATCCTCAGAATGAGCTCCGGCTTGTTAGAGTAGTTACAAACAAACAAACAAATGCTTCTTTGGCTATGTTCGAAACAATAGGAAGAACAAGCAAGTAGTAGGTCGTCTGCATGGAGATGGGAGAAATGCTGTTGGATGACACAAGAGAAGTCGGAACTACTCAACAAACTACTTTGCCTCTGTCTTAACCCAAATGGAAAGCAGTGTCTATTCTGGTGATAACATAATAGACGATCCAGGGAGGATGTTGAAGCCCAAGATAGGAAGGGGGGGGAGGTGGTAAGATAACACCTAGCTAGTTTAAATGAATTCAAACCTTTCGGGCTTGTGAGCTGCACCCAAGGGTACGAAAGGAAAGACACACTTCCTTTATCCATACATGTCTCGCATGGCCCTTGAGAGAATCTGCACTGACAAGGGGTTTGCGGGCTTCCCCTAGGCCTAGGGATATTGTGAAGACTAGATGCTGTACTGAGTGTCCTCGGTGGGCCTTTGGCTTAATCCAGCTCCTACACCCTTAGATGACAACAAATCTGCCTAGGCATAGGCGCCGACTCCATGGGGCCTGAGGGGGCCCGAGCCCCCTCAAAAATTTTATTGGGGGGGCTCCGCCCCCCCAATAATCAAAAATTTTTTCGCGCACCTTGGCTCCCTCGTCGCGCGCCTTGGCTCCCGCGGCCGGCGGGGGGAGCCCGGGCCGCGCGCGGCTGCTGCTGCCGCCACCGCCTCTCCTGGGGGCGCCGCCTCCCCGGGCGGGAACGCTGCGGGTGCGCGAGGGAGGAGGGCGGCCCCCGGGGGCTGGGAGAGCCGGGCTGCCGTGGCCGAGAGGGCTGCTCTGCCGGGCGCCGCTGACATAATTTAAGAAAATTATCGCGCGCCTTGGCTCCCGCGGCCGGCGAGGGGAGCCCGGGCCGCGCGCGGCTGCTGCTGCCGCCGCCGTTTGTGGTCATGGCGGAGCTGCCGCCTAGGGAGGAGGGGAGAGGGGGCTGGCGGGGGGGCAGGCGGTGAAGGGGGCTTGGCTGCGCTCTCTCTCTCTCGGGCTCTCTCTCTCGGGCTCTCTCTCTCTCGGGCTCTCTCTCTCTCTCTCGGGCTCTCTCTCTCTCTCTCTCGGGCTCTCTCTCTCTCTCTCGGGCTCTCTCTCTCTCGCTCTCGCTCTCTCTCTCGGGCTCTCTCTCTCTCGCTCTCTCTCTCTCGCTCTCTCTGGCTCTCTCTCTCGGGCTCTCTCTCTCTCTCTCGGGCTCTCTCTCTCTCTCTCTCTCTCTCTCGGGCTCTCTCTCTCTCGGGCTCTCTCTCTCTCTCTCTCTCTCTCGGGCTCTTCCCGCCCAGGGCTTGTGGGCATCTGCTCTGAGAGGAAGATGGAGGTGACTTCCCTTAAAGGTCATGGAATCATAGAGGTGGAAGGGACCCAAAGGTCATCCAGTCCAACCCCCAGCAATTCAGGACTCACAGCTAAAGCATCCCTGGCAGATGCCCTCCCCCCCGACCTCTCCCTAAAAGCCCCTTCCCCTGTCTGACTGCTCTCACCACCAGAAAGGCCTTCCTAATGTTTTTGTGGGAATCTCATTAAGCCTACAGAGCTATATATGCAAATGGATCTACTTATTCTTTCCCTTGAAGATACATTGATTCGTTTGTTACTGTGGTTTCGATCAATACTTTCCAAAGATCTTTACATTTGTCCATGCATGATCTTTGTCTGAAAGCTCATGGGGTTGCAGGAGTTGTCAGAGGAGGTTATATTTTTGTCCTTTCAACTGTTATGGAAATTACAGGGGGGGGCACATCTTTAAAGTTGTTAAATGTTGCAAATATTATGCCTGAATGTACCCTTTCAACTTGACAGCTCAGGGAAGTTACCTAGATAAAATCCTGTAACACAATGTATCAGCCTTAATCATTTTGCAGATGTTAAGGGGGGGGGGCAGAGCCTGCAGCCACCATCCCTTTCCGGTGGGGAGGGGGCAGAGGAAAGACAGGAAGCTTTTCCCTGCAGAGTTAGACCCCTTGGCTGCGTGGCCCTCGGGTCCCTTCAAACTCCAGGGCGTTTTGCTGGTGGGGGGCTGCGTGGGGGCCTGGGCGATGTCAGAAGAGGAAGCTTGCAGGCCTGGTTGTCTGTTGGGGGCAGCAGGAAGAGGCGGAGGGCAGGATGTGCAGCCCCTGCCTGGCTTTCCTGTGGGACCAAGGAAGCGGCTGGGGGGGGGGGGGGACTTGGCCGCTGGCCTTTGTTGCGGAGGTGGCAGTGTGGGAACGCCAGTCCCAAGGGCAGCCTCTGGGGTCTGGGTGCTGCTGCCTGTCTCCTGCCATGGACTTGGCGGGGGGGGGGCTGTGCTATTGGGCTGGCAGAGACTTAACGGGGGGCTGCCTCTCCCAGCCAAAGCTGACCCACAAAATTGCAACCCAGTGTGTGTGTTTGTGTGTGGGGGGAACCAGCCTGCGCAGGGTAAGCCCCGATGGGGCTCCTGGGCTCCTTCTGATGCATGAACATTGGAGGTTGTCCTTTACAGCTCAGCTCCCCAAGGGGCTCAAAGCCTCCCAAGTCCATTATCAGTCGGAGACGAATGAGTGGAAGCTGGAAGAAAGGGGGAATCTTTATTTTTGTTGAAACAGAGCCCTCCTTCCCACTGACATTTGCAAGGAGGGGAGGACCCCAAACAAAGGTGTGCAGCAGCTTTGAAAGACTTTTCCGGCTCAACATCAGGAAGAGCTTTCTGACAATAAGAGCTGTTCAGACGGTCTCTGCTCCCTGGGAGAGGCTAGGTGGCCATCTGTCAGGGATGCTTGAGCTAAGATTCCTGCATTGCAGGGGGTTGGACTAGATGACCTTGGGGTCCCTTCTGTCTCTATGATTCTATGATTAGCATAATACAAGCATCTCAGGAAGAGGCATCTACCAACAGAAATCCAAGAGTGTGGCTTCTCTCCTGTCTGTCAAGGGACCTGCAGATGCTGATTGCCTTACTTGGCCAGTTCCTTAGGACTGGTACATACAGTCATACCTCGAGTTACAGATGCTTCAGCTTAAGCATTTTCAGGTTATGGATGCACTGAAACCCAGAAGTACCGGAATGGGTTACTTCCAGGTTTCGGCACTTGTGCATGCGCAGAAGTGCTAAATCACAACCTGTGTGTGCGCAGACGCAGCAATGTGAGTTGCGAACACTGCGGGTTGCGAACGTGCCTCCCACATGGATCACGTTCGCAACCCGAGCGTCCACTGTACCTTGGTTCTCGAACAGAATGCGTTTCAGGAGTCCATTCGACTCCCGGAACCATTTGAAAACCAGAGTGCGGCTTCTGCCAGAGGAGCCCCCTGCAGCCAATCGGAAGCCGCACCGGATGTTCGCCCTCCAAAAATCATTTGAAAACCAGAACACTCACTTCCGGGTTTCGATTGTTCAGAAGCCGATTTGTTTGGGAGCCAAGGTGCTCGGCTTCTCAGGTACAACCGAACCTGAGTCCTTGGGGGCGCCGCCTCCCCGGGCGGGAACGCTGCGGGTGCGCGAGGGAGGAGGGCGGCCCCCGGGGGCTGGGAGAGCCGGGCTGCCGTGGCCGAGAGGGCTGCTCTGCTGGGCGCCGCTGACATTGGAACTTAGAAAACTTCCCGGGGCAGGACCCCGGTATGGGCCCCCCCAATATTTTTTATAAGTCGGCGCCCTGTGCCTAGGCATTTAACGCGCCATGAGCCTCCTTTTTGCTTCGACGAGCATCCCAGCCACAACTCAGGCGACCGTCCTTTATCCAGTCCCTCCGCTCCCCACCCCCACTCACTCACCATGTTTACAGCGAGGTCCATCCAGGCCTCCCTTTCCCCTGCGGTCACCGCTCGCCCCTTCTCCGCTTCCATCTCTCTATAGAGGTGAGCGGGGCCGCCGCCGACTCTACAGCCCCGGAACGGAGTGTATGGAGCCGATGTTTCCGGGGGGGGATCGGGATCCACACGGACCACGCAGAGGTGGGGGACTAGAATGCAGGTAGGAGGCGGAGCGGCTGCAGCCGCTGCCTTCGCTTTGCGTGGCCGACGTCCGGGGCGGGGCTGGAGGCTTTGCGGCGGCTGCGATACGGGGAAGAGGCAGCGCCGAGCCCTTGCTTTCCGCGGACGCCGGGATGCTGCTGGCCGTGTGGGGCTTCCTCAAGCGCCACAAAAAGAAATGCTTCTTCCTGGGCGCCTTCGTGGGCGGTAAGTGAGAAGACCCCTCCCTTCGCCTTCCGCTCGCGTGTCCTCCTCGGTCTCCGCATAGCCCTCCTTAGCCCTTTGGCTGCCTTTGCTTCTCACCCAGTGCCGCATTTACGTATAAGCTAAACAAGCTATAGCCCCACAAAAAATTAAAGGGGAAAAAACCTGGGTGTAAATTTCCAAAATATAAGATAAAACCTACATACAGCAACAGAGGCGAATGGCTTTAGATACCTATTAGGTCCAGAAATAACCATATAGCATATATTCAACACAAAAAACAGCGGCAATTTGTTGTTGACAAAGGACGGCTGGAAATATAAAGGGCCCCTTTATCTTCAGTAGCTTAGGGCCTCATCAAACCTAAATCCAGCCCTGTTCTCTCCCCCATACGCTCCGCCTCCCCCCATACACACACACACCTGCTGCCTTGTTCCCTGAGATTCCTCCCCCCCCCCAAATCTCCCAGCAGTAAGCCCTACTGTTTTTAGTGGGGCTTACTCCCAGGTAAGCGTGGCTACCTGCCCAAGCAATTATAGCACTGGATGTCGGTGTGCAGTTCCTTATCTTTTTGAGTTCAGGTGCGGTCGCGCCAGTTACAACACCAACAAACCTGCTAGGCAGGCCAGCTCTAGCATTCCTGTGTATTGTAAGGCAGGGGCTGAAGTCAAGAGAGGGCCACTTGCTCCTGCTCTATGGTGGCCACACACCTTCTCTCCCAGGCTGCGGCTCCTGCTGTTTCTCCCTCCTTGTGCCTTTATTTCAGCTGATCTCTTGTGTCTTTTAGCCAGAATCCGGTGTGTCATCCCTCCTTTTTCCTGGCTTGAAAAGTAGCCCCCCACCCCCCAAGAAAAACTTTTTTTAAGCTCAAAATTGCTGAAGGTGCTCGAGTTCAGGCCTGTTCCTTATTCACTCGTTTCAGATTATAACTTGTCTTAATCTTTCCTAACAAGTGCATGTATGGACTCATTCCTTCTTTTCAGATCAAAGTCTTTCTTTTTGCACAATCATCCTGTTATAACCAGCTCTTGCAGATACTTGCTCCCCACCCCTGATTTGTTTTTTGCTCTGTACTAGTAGGAAAACACTTACCCCTTTATCGTGCTTTTCTGGACATATACATTTCACGTCCTGATATCTTGTATTCTACACCATTAGAAGTTTATATTTCAAAATAGGGGAGTATGTGGCAGTAGCAGCCATTGCTTCATAACTTACATTTGAAACTGCTATATATTCATTTGCCATGAATTAGGCTTTTCTCATCTCAGTATTCATCACTACTTAACCAGGGGACTCTATTTCCATTATCAGTTTGCTAAAAGTACTACTTGAATAATTTGTATAGTCAACTTTTTTATCTGATTATGTGAAACTATTACCAATAATTTTCTATCACAATCCATTGTAGGTCATTTTTGCCTGAGAAAGGGAAGACAGTTTGGAAATTAAGAACAGTTTTATTTAGCACATATGCTGTTTCGGTGATCCTGTACTGTGATGGGATCCAGCCTTACTTATGATCATTTAATCTAATTGTGAGAACTTGTTCTGGGTAACATTTTTTACAATTTCTACTGAAATCAAGAGAAAAATATATTCTAAAGCAGAAGAAACTGTTTGGTTGTAAGCCCTAAATTATGCCTCTTCTAAAATACCTTTAATAGGAGTTTACATACTTGGAAAATATGGACAGAAAAAAATGAAAGAAATCCAGGAAAGAGAAGCTGCAGAATACATTGCACAAGCACGAAGACAGTATCATTTTGAAAGTAACCAGAGGACTTGCAACATGACAGGTAAAGCAACAGCAGTCTTGGAATCAATTCAGGTTATACCATGGCTTTTGCTAACTAAAGTGCACGTCACTTGCCTATTGTTGGTTCCTGTTTTCTCAGCACATATTAATTACCATAGTTTCTGATGCCAATTTGACAACTGATCACTGAACCATGATTTGTCATGCCAAATCATAGTTAAACTTCCTTAACTATGGTTTGGTGTGCTGCCTAAACTGAAGTGGTCTTTTTGATTGAGGTAATATAAACAGAATCACATAGTAGTTAGGGTCAAAAGAATTGCATGTCTAGCTTCGCATTTCCAGGGGGACTTGTGTTTTGTTAACAGCAGCCCCTTAAGTTGCATGGCAAACTACATTTAAAACTCATGAAGGACCATCTGTAGCCAAAGGTAAGTTTGACTTTTATAGCTAATTTTGTTTTATTTTTCTGCACATTTTATGGACTGTCCTTATCCTGTGCATCTGTGTTAAACTCCTATTTTTAAAAGCAATCATATCCATACTGAGCTTCCTTTACTCTAAAAGACTGAGATCATTTAATCTCTATTCATAAAATTAGTTCTCTGATTGCAAAAGTGCTCTTTGCACTTTGGCTTTGAATTCCTCCTTTTTGAAGAGGGGTAACTAAAGCTGGAAACAATAATATTAAAGGTGTCATTGTGCATACTTCCAGTTTGTGCTTTTTTTGAAAAACAAAAACAAATGATCCTTATATTTATTTCCCAAAGACCAAGAGTTGGGTTCAAACTTGAAGTTCTATGAACGGAACAGCTTCCCCTGTTGATGGAAGGTTCTGAGATCCAGCAGATGCTTGGCTGGAGAGAGAAGGGGGGGGCATTTTAGTCTATTCTCCCTATTAGTTCACCACTTCCTGTGCTGTTCAGGAAGGAGTCCCACCCCTCTAAGGCAATTTCCCATGAGCTGCTATAGCAAGTGTGGAAAACCTTTAACTCTTCAGATGTTGCTGAACTACAATTTGCATAAGACTCAGCAAACATGGCCAATCACCAGGGATGTGGGAGTTGTAAACCACTGACATTTGGTGGACTAAATGTTCCTCACAGGTGTGCTAGAGGGAGGAGGAAGTATCAAAAAACACATACACATGTGATCAAACCAATTACTAAATAAATGATTTGTTTTATGAGATTATATGTACGCTGGTTACGTTCCTGATCATATGCTTTTTGTTAATAGTCCTGTCAATGCTTCCAACATTAAGGGATGCTTTGATGTATCAACTGAATTCTGAGAGCCTCACTTCACTGCTGAAGAATAGGTAAGTGTGATCTGTTGATTTGGTTTGAATGCTTATTCTTTATATTTGGGCTATAAGTGGAATGTGCATATGTAACTATCATGTAGGAAAATTATTCCCTGCAACCTGAATCTGTGGACTGTGAAAACCTTTAAGGTTATTTTATCCTGATAGAGAAATATAAGAATTAAAACCATGTAGCACATTTTGTATCTAATATGCATTAGTGGGGAAATGATACTAAAAAGTATTTATAATGTATTTCTATGAAACACGTAGAGGAAGTATAAAGCAAATTCCAGTGTGTTTCAGTTAGTTTGAAAAATGCTTGTTGAAATATTATTTACAAAGGCCAGTTAGGGCTACATTTGTAAATTTCTTCAGAGCCTCAAATCCCCAGGCTTAGTTATTTATATCTTCATTTTCCTCTAAGCATTTCCTCACAAGCAGTTTCAATGCTTGTTCATGCCTATATTAAAGTGAAAATTGAATTTTCACTTTAATATAGACAGAAATTGAGCTTTCTTTCTACCATTCATTTTCAATGTTTCCAATTTTGTGTTTTCTTAGACCAGCCAACAAATTAGAAATATGGGAAGATTTGAAGATTATAAGTAAGTTGAAAGGAATAATTATGCTCATGATCCAGTGAGCCTCTTTTTATGTATGCACATAGCAGATCTTCTGGTTTTTCTTCAAAATGCAACTCTGGTCCAACTCCAGTGCACATTACAATCTGTAAGCAGAACTATCAGATATGTGCTTCTTCAGAAGCAAGTGCCATTCTGTTCAATGAAGTTTCCTACCAGCTTATTATGCATAGGATTGTAGCCTTACAGAGCATTCCTGTCCCCACCCCAATGGCTGCCAGGATGGTATGTACATGCCTCTCTACTGGCCTTCATTGTCAGAGGTAGGCAGCGGGGAAAGGCTCTGCTTTGGCAGAGGCCTCAGCTTTGCCTAGCCATGCACTGAGCAAGTAGTTCCCAACCTTTTTGATATGGCAATACCCAAGCCCAAACTTACATGGCATAGTGACCCATCAGTTTATTGTCACATGAATTTTTGACCTCAAGTGTTAAAATTTGGAAATTGAACCTTTCTAACACAAGTGTTAATGCAGCATTATAACATGCCAACAAAACAAAAAGTTGTAAGATTACAAGCAATACTTATTTAAGGTTTGCTTACAAAGCCCATGACCCACTTATACAGGTTTTGTGAGCCACTGGTTGGGTGGGAAACGCTGCACTAATCTCTCACCTGTGGTAGCCAGCAGAAAGCTCTAAAGTGGGGCACTAGCAGATTGGGATCAATGGGACCCAACCCCTTGCTGACGTAGTGAAAATAATCTGTTCCACACTTTCCCAGCCCCTTGTTTGAATTGCTTTGCCATGTTCATGCAAGCCTAAGTAATAGGCTTGTAAAATTTGTCCTTGTTTGAGCTCATTGCATCTTAAGCTCTTGATTACCCAGAAGAAACACCTTTTTGAAGAAGACACGAAATACAGATAGCCCCTCTAAATAAGCTCTAGAAAGTTATGTTTTCTGCACATAAAACCAGAACGGTAAACAGTTACTCTATCCCATATATACAATATTTATTACTCTGCATTACTTTAGATGACATGCTGATTATTAGCTGTCCACTCTTTTTCATTTAGCATCATTCCTTTTTCTGTTTAAAGGTTTTACAAGAAGCATTGTAGCTGTATATAGCACATGTATGCTTGTAGTTCTTCTACGAGTACAGTTAAATATTATTGGTGGATACATCTACCTGGATAATGCAGCAGTTTGCAAAAATGGCACAGTAAGTACATTCTTTGAGCAGTATATCAGTGATTGAAAATTTCAGTAAGGGTGGCTATAATATGTAGAATCCAGTACATAGTATTAGACTTACGGAAATCCAATTGACGTTAATTAATATGCCGAGGATGAAATCCAACATCACAAGTGAAATTTTTGCTTGCATGACAGGCCTGCTCCTTCCTCTCCTCTCCCTGCACCCTCCCAAATGCAGAGGGGGGAGAAGAATGAGAGATTCTGTTGCACATGTGCAAGGCCATTCTGCTAGCAGATGAGGCACGACTGGATATCCTCAATTTATGAGTATTGGAAGATTGGACTAATTTACAAAGTGAATGATGCTAAAGAGCAGAGATGATGCTTCTTGAATTCCTTTTTTTGTAAACTCTCTGGCCCTCATAATTGGGGGTGGATTCATCCATTTTGTTGGTGTTGAATAAGTTGACAGCACAGCAAAAAGGAAATAAATTTGGTGTTCCATGCTTGTGTGGTTGTTCCCAATGTTAGCTCTTATTTATAACGAGAGAGGATCTATAAGGCTTTTAAAAACGAGAGATTTGAATTGTTCTGTCCTCTGTTGTTCTGTGTTTAAAGATGGCTGAGGCTGTTAAGATCCAGGGTATCTTGAGAGTGATGCCAGCAGCAGGAGAGCACAGAGAAGGCACAGGGAGGGAAATTCTGCATCCTGACTGGTTGTACAGACACATGGAGGATAAACACACTGTTCCATAAAGTAACAGAAACTTTACAGAATGTTTTTCTCCTTATAGACACCTCTAGCTCCCCCTGAAGTCCAACAGCAATATTTATCAAGTATTCAGCACCTTCTAGGAGATGGTATGATATCTGTAAACCTCTTCCTACGTAGTGCCAATATTTTCAAAGTTTGAACAAATGGGTAGCAAGTCTTCAGTAACTTTTTCCTTCTGCCTTAGGTTTGACTGAATTAATTACTGTGGTTAAAAAAGCTGTGCAGGATGCATTTGGGAGGTAAAAAAAATGGCTTTAAAAAAAGTTTTCATGTGTATTTTTAAAGTAATTCATTGGGATGCATTCAATTGATGTGATAAATAATGTTTAACTTCTTCCCCTTTCAGTGTTTCTCTCAAACATGCTCTTTCTCTCTTGGATTTGGACCAGAAGCTACAAGAAATTAGAAAGGTGATAGAACGACCTGGAGATGGGTCATCATCTGAAGACACTGCGTCCCAGTCTCTGCTGTGTCATTACATGATGCCAGATGAAGAGAATCCATTAGCTACCCAGGTATTTTCATAGTATTGTGAGCAGGGAACCAAACCAAACCTGAAGTTGTTGGGGGCGGGGCAGAGATTGGCTTTAGGTTTTTAAAAAAAGGAGCAGAATTTAAACTTGAAACTCAAATCTTTTAGTTTGCTTCCATCTGAACCAGAACCAGACCTTTCCGAACAAAAAAGGTTCAACATAAATAAAGGAATCCTGTACATTCACTTGGAGCACTATCCAAGTTGCTTTTATGCTCTGTTGTTTGTCTTTCTAGGCCAGTGGACTTACAGAAGGAGATGTGGCTACTATTAAATTACTTAATGAGACAAGAGACATGTTGGACAGGTATGCAGCAAATGTTATCTTTGGTAACTTAGGCTAAATAAGCTTGGGAAAGGAAAATAGGAAACTGATTTTTTATCAGAGTAGAGAAATTGAGGGTGATTTTGCATAACGAAGTATCTTATTTATTTATTTATTTTTTTAAAAAACCTTTCTCAAATGCTTTGATTCTCCACTTCCCTTGTCCCTGTTTGAGCAAACCACAGTTTGCTGTTTTATCCAAACTGAGAAAATATAGCTTGTCTCTAAACTTGGGGTTGAAACTCATTTTAATTACTGGCAAAGACACAAACTTTGCTTCATAGAGATGAGGGTGGGGAGTGAATTGGAGCAAGAAGAGCAGAGGAAGAACAAATAGGCCTCCAGTAAATTCTTCCAGGCCTAGCCAGAGAGGCCTGGAGGTGCCTGAAATGCCCCATTTCTAGTTTAGCCTCATATCCCCATCAGCAAAGTATCACTTTTATTTAAATTACATTTTAAATATGTTTTCCAAAATACGTTGGCATGTAGAGAAGGATTTATATATCTATTATAATTTGATTGATTTATTCCAGTCCAGATTTCAATAGAGTTTTGAGTTCATGCTTAAATAGAGGGTTCAGTCGATTATTGGACAACATGGCAGAATTCTTCAGACCCACCGAACAGGACTTATGCCATAGTAGTTCCATGAACAGGTAAACATCTTTAAACATGTTTTAATATAAATGCTTTTCAATGTAGAAGAATCTAAGTATAGTCAGAGTTTTACTTACTATTTCACTATTATCAGGTTCTCCAAAAAATAGTTGAGGTTTCACTAAGATCATATAGCAATCCTGCCAGATGGATCAGTTTTAGGCTGAATTTTTAACAAAAACAATGTCTTAACATAGTTTGGACTGTGCTCTTCTTCCAGCAAAATGTGTTAACCCTTTGTTTAATTATGAGTAATTAGTCTTAAAATAACTGATAGATCTGCTGTCTAGCAAGATTGAATACGCACTCAGACTCCACTAAGTTAATTTTATTTTCAAATTCTTTTTATTTAAAGTTCCTCTCCACTTCCCGAAAAACACACTGCACAAACTTCCTTATGGGAGACACTTGTTTTAGCAAGCATAAAGAGAGCCATTTTGAAAAGAGAAGTAAAAGAAGGCAGAATGCTTCCTTGTAATCAGGTGCAGTGTTGGCACTTTGGAATGGAAGTGGGAGACAAACTCTGCTCCCCCACACCTTGAATCTTCATGCCAGCCATCAAATAAACCAACATGCATTGGCCAGTCAGGTGACCACCACACATAGGAGCCAAGAGACTCCCATTCAGAATTGCAGCTACTACATAGCACCATATAGCTCAGTTGGTTAGAGCATGGTGCTGATAGCGCCAAGGTAGCAGGTTCGATCCCCGTATGGGACAGCTGCATATTCCTGCATTGCAGGGAGTTAGACTAGATGATCCTCAGGGTCCCTTCCAACTCTTAAGATTTTATGAATCTATGCCACCTACCCACAATGTCTAATCTGGACCAGGAGCCAGGCAGGGAGGGTGGCTGAATGAGTGTGTGTAGGCTGGAGAGCCTGTGCAACTGGATAGAGGTTGTGTGCTGCCTGCTCCAAACTGACAGGCTGTGAGTGGTAGCATGTGATGGGCTGGTGAAGGGCCCTTTTTTGCTTCTGGGGCTCAGTCAGTCCCCAACCTGGCTGAGCTTTCCCCTGGGCAGGTATTATGTGTTTACTATTCTTCTTCTGAATCTGTTTATTACAAAAGTAGTTAACAAGACATTTATGTTGTGTAATCACATCTCTTTCCCCACCTCCACCTCCAGTCTTTCCAGCGTCAGTCTTCCTTTAGCCAAGATAATTCCAATAATAAATGGGCAGATTCATTCAGTCTGCAGTGAAACACCTAGCCATTTTGTTCAGGTAAGAAGACCTTTTCCCCTTCCTTTCTTCCTTCCTTTCCTTCCTTTCTTTCTTTCTTTCTTTCTTTCTTTCTTTCTTTGGCTTAGTCTCTTATTTAATAGCTTTTCTGCACTTAGTTTTCAGGGTGTCTTATAAACAAAATTAAACAGTACAACTGGGGAGAAATCCAATTAAAATAATTTCACACCCAAAATATGAAAATGTAGACCTGTCAGCCTGCTTTGTATTGTTGCCATTAGTATATTTTTAAGCCTTTAAAAGTGCACTAAGCTCTGTACCAACAGTAAACTAGACTTGTTGCTGTCATAATGTCTCACATCTTATTAATCAAAATATGAAGAAATGTGTAGAATTCAGGTATGCACATTTTACACTGCATAAACACAGGAAGTGAGACTGCCAGGATGACACATTTTATTCTGAGTGGAAGAAATAGAATCCATCCCCCTTTTTGGTTAGGCTTCCAGGTTGGTTATGGCTGAGGCAAAAGCCGTTTTAGTGTCAGTGGTAGATGATCCACATATGTAAGATAGAACATTTCCCTCTTAACAGTTTTGGACTTCTCAGCCTCTAACAGTGCATGAAGTAACGTGCCAAGCAATTCTGTTAACCAGGCTTGAAGTGTTAACGGGGGGTTACTTGCTGATATTACGCATCTGCTTGTGTTAAAAAAGAGTGCTGTATCTGCTACATGAACATTCTCTTTCCAGGACCTTCTAATGATGGAACAAGTGAAAGATTTTGCTGCTAATGTGTATGAAGCTTTCAGTACCCCTCAACAACTAGAGAAATGAACTGCACAGTGGGGTGTACATATGATCCGTAGTGCCCAGTCCTGTGAATACTTCATTTGATGATGAATCTTTTCAGAATGGTACAAGATTATTAATCCCTGCAAAAAGAATGTCTTTTGAGAAAATCCAGCACCTGGGTTTTATAGTGATAGAGCTCACCAGACTTAAGTAAATTTAAGGGGAAGTATCATTACACTGCAAGCCTTTGTGTTGAAGCAGTCTCAGTTACAAATCACTTGTTTACAAAAGACAGTGCAAAAAATAATAACCTGCCTACAATAACTCCTTTCCCCACCCCATAAGAAGTACATCTGGCTTCAAAAGTGTGCAGGCAATGTCAGGCTTCTGTCTCTCGGACCCAGTGGGGAGGTGGTTATCTTTCCCCAGTCTCCTCTTAACCCAGAGACAGTGGTTGACCTTTGAAATGAGTTCACAAATTGGTTGCAGCAGGTAACACATTAAGAATGGGGGCGGGGGAGAGAACCACCCCCACTGTACTCAGCACCTCTTCTCTTGGTGGCAGGGGAAGATCAGGAGTAGCTCGTCTCAGCACCAATCAGCTGTGAAGCAGTGTAGAACATGTCCTACGTGCCCTTCCCCTATGGCAGTTGTAAGCCATGAGAGGTTTCACTCAAAAGCTGATCATACCATCTACTACTATGAAAGGGGGAGATGCAATCAAGCTTCCTTTACTCCCAGCTGTCTCTTCAACTTCTTACCTGCTAGCCTGAGTGAGTCTATAAGAATGTGAGAACAGGAGTAGGGTATGTGGCCTTCTGTGCTTTAGGCTGATGGTTCCAAATGCATATTTTTAGAACACGGTTATCTTCTGAACAACGCAATGCTGAGTGCTTACTCTACTGTTTCAGATTCAGAGTAGATGGTTCCTAGAAAATATGTTTATGCTGTTTGTAAATGGCTCCTGCTGTATACATTCATTTGTAAATATTTTTAATTGGAATATCTGTTAACTATCTGACAATAAATTATTTTAACAAAGATTATGTGTGGTAACTTGCTACATCCTAAGCTCGCCGTTCAGTGATGTATTTGTGCAATTTTGAACTGTAGGGGGCGGGAATGGATGCAATGCTTTATTTTTTGTATATAAAAAAAATCCGTTGTAACTTCAGCACAAAAAGAAGCATTAAACATATTAGTAGTCTTGCTGTAGCTATACCTACTTCTTCTGTAGCAAATTTATTCTATTAGATTCTACTTTATATATGTAAGAAGGTCCCCTAGCAGCTTACAAAAGTTTCTTTTAAAAAAAATGCAGTCAAATACAGTAATCACATTGCATTCAAGTAGAACCAGGATTATTTAGGCTGTATTTCTTGTCCTTGTCCTTTTCCTTCTCTGGTTTTGTAGCAGGAAACAGTTCCCACCAAGCTTCTTTTGAGGCAAAGGAGTGGGACCGAGCAGCTAGAACTTGCCCATCCCATAACGAAAGCAAATATACAGTACATTCACACAGAGAAAAAAGAGTTTGGTTGTAAATCAACAAGGCAACTGGACTTCAACATTGATTTCTCCTTATAGAACCTCAGCTGCTTTATTAAAGTGTTTCATGAAGATTACAATTACACAAATTTTTAAATTAGCAATAATTTTCTTTTTTTCAAGTCACAAACTGCAAGATACTCAAAGAGGCAACAGCTTTAGAATCTTACCTGTCTGATACTTAAGTAACTGAACATACATGTATCAAAATTTAAGAAGTATATAATTGTAGGCCATTTCTCACTAATCAGAACTATGACCCAAGTCCTAATATATAATTTTATATTCAAGGAAAGTGTGATGGGGTAATATTGAGGTAGGTTATAGGACTGAGGAAACTCCTAGCACCCAACTCCAGCAAAATGGAATCAAATATTACTGAAACCAATGGAAGAAGTTGAAATTCACAGCTACTTGCCACTTATCCCTACTGAAAACAATCCTAAACACTTAACTTGAGCATATTCCATTGAACATAGTAGGACTGTTGCATAGACAATGGTAGGATTGTATTGTTTGTCATACTTGATTTACAGTCAAATGCAGTGTACAACATTTCAGTTTTAGAATGCCTCAACCCTTTTTGTCCATAGTTATTTGAGCACCAATTCTAACATTAGGCATGGCGGACTTCCCCCGCCGCCCTTGGTTGCTTTTTAAAGCCAAAATACTTTTCTTTTTAAGACACATAATAACTTTTCTGTTTAGTCTGTCTTTTGTGAGCCTCATAAGATGACTCTTCCCAAGGCCCAAAATCTTGAGCGGTTTTGCCTGACTGGTCTATGTCCTTAAACTCTAGTAATCCCTCTTGCTTGTGTGGCTGCAGGATAGAGAGTGGGGTGTAAGTGAAAAAACTAGCTTACTGTACAACGTAAAATTCACTTTAATTGCTCTGCTCACTTGCCTCTGGCTCAGCTCTGCACTGGCATTTGGTCCCTAGGTTACCCCAAAGGAAATGTGTCCCTGGGACTCAAAATAGTTCATCGCTTCACTCTGCAGTTTACTTGCACTTCCTGCCTAGTTGTGGTAGATTCTGCCTAATTTCATAGGTCCTCTTTTCGAAAACTGAAGGTGGAACAAGATCAGTGCATGAATCTTCCTATAGATTATTTCTGTTTCAGATATATATCCCCTGTCACCTCAGAAGTAAGTCATGGTGAGTGAGCTCTGATTGTTCACCAAAATATTAATAATAATAACAAAAGAATCAGTCATAATAACCAAAAGTGAAGGATGTCTGTTGCTAATAGACGTTAGTCAGCTGCAGAGTCCAGCCCCACTGATACGGAAATATAGTGAATGGCAATTGAGGTGCGACTACCATCATTCCCTTCTCCCCCATGGAAACCCATGGCAATGGTTCTTCATATCCAATCAGCTTAACCTGAAACAGAAAAGCTTTTATTAAATGGTAGAAGCCATTCAAAGAGATGCTGACTCTCTTAAGATCTTGCGCTTAAAAGTCTCTGTCTCTCCAGATGAGAATAGCCATAGTCTGGAATTAATGGGTGTTAAACAACAACATGACAAACCTAGACAGCATCTTAAAAAGTAGAGACATCACCTTGCCAACAAAGGTCAGTATAGTAAAAGCTATGGTTTTCCCAGTAGTGATGTATGGAAGTGAGAGCTGGACCATAAAGAAGGCTGATTGCCGAAGAATGGATGCTTTTGAATTATGGTGCTGGAGGAGACTCTTGAGAGTCCCATGGACTGCAAGAAGATCAAACGCATCCATTCTTAAGGAAATCAGCCCTGAGTGCTCACTGGAAGGACAGATCGTGAAGCTGAGGCTCCAATACTTTGGCCACCTCATGAGAAGAGAAGACTCCCTGGAAAAGACCCTAATGTTGGGAAAGATGGAGGGCACCAGGAGAAGGGGACGACAGAGGACGAGATGGTTGGATAGTGTTCTTGAAGCTACCAGCATGAATTTGACCAAACTGCAGGAGGCAGTGGAAGACAGGAGTGCCTGGCATGCTCTGGTCCATGGGGTCACGAAAAGTCGGACACGACTAAACAACACAAAACAACAACATTGACTAGCCTTGTAAACTAATCTGCTAGGGATGTTATATGCGGATGATCTTGCTTTGCTGGAGTGCATTTCATGTTCTTTCTAGTCCTGAAATTCTTCAAGAGAAATTGTACAGAAGTCATAAAAATAGGCAGATATTTCTTACCTCTGTCTTTCCGGTAATGCCTTTTGGTTCCCCAAGCATCAGAGTTCCTGAAGATGGCCAGTTAAGGAAAATAGCATACAGAATGTCTTCTTTTGGCTTGAATGTATACCTAGTAGGAGTTAACAAACGACGAATCATTTTTTCTAAAGATCGCAGGTGAAACTACCTAACCTACAAACAATTTGGGACCCTCGCCAGCAAAGCTGTTTAGTAACCAATGCAAATACTGCACACCTCAGAAGTGTGTTGTTATTTTTAACCACCTCTTTTTCTAGAGGAGAAGGACCAATAGTTTAGAAATAGTAATCCCGCACATCATATGGAAGACAAAACTAGATAGCTTAGTCAAAATGTTTGTGTGTGTGTGCGCGCGGGAGTTTTAATTAAATAGCAGCTATGGGGGAAGAGGGTGGTTCTGATCAAGACAGCAGCATTTTGAGGGAGGATTTGCTCTCGCCCATTGCATAGTTTCAATCTAGATTGCACCCTTCCTTAAATGCTATTTTCAACAGAAGGGGAGCTCCCAGTGATACCAATGGAACTTTCTTCCTGGGGTTAACAGAAGCTGCAGCAAAGGCTCAAGAGCAAAGTGTTAAAAGTCTCACTGCACAAATACCACAGTCCTGATTCAGTTCTCCCTGATTCAGTAGCATCATACCTTGCTTGTGAAGGGAGTCAAATGAGGGGGAAGTGAAATATAGCCAATATAGCGGAACAATAACAAAAGTAAACTTAACATTGGTACAGTACTTCCTGCATTTTTGCTTCATGGACTTACCATACTCCTGGTGTGGCACTGTCATTCTGGGCTCTCCAAGGTTTAGTGCTGAAAATGGCTTCCCCGTTGAGGGCCAGCCACGACCCCATTTGCTTCAAGCGCTCCTCAAGAATAACAGGAATGCGGCCATCGTGGGTGGGCCCGATGTTCAACAAGAGATTTCCTCCACATGACACTGTTTCTACAAGTTGCTGAAATTATATGGGGAGAGGAGCAATGAAAAGTCACACTGGGTTTGGCATTTCCAACATAGCTGCCCAGCGTTTGAGATGGCACATTTATATCAGTTGTTAAGACTAAATTCATGCTTCTGTTACAACACTGTCAGTACCTTCCTGTAGGTTCAAAGAGAGTTTAACTCATGGATGGGGAAACTGTGGCCCTTCAGATGATGTTGGACTCCAAATCCTATCAGTCCCAGCTAACACATCCGGTTGCCAGGGTTGATGGGAGCTGTAGTTCAACAACATCTAGAGGGAGACAAGTCCCCCAACCCTTGTCTAGCTGTTCAACTGGAAGTGCTCCTTCTAGGAATCAACATGGGCGTTTCATTAGTGGGCTCCTTAGTACCTTTTTTGTGGCCGCTAGCCCTTTAAAATGAGAAACAACTCTTGCACGATTATTTATCTATCCATCCCACCCTTCCTCCCAAAGGAGCCCAGGATCCGCAATAATTTTTTAAAAACATTCTAAAACATTTTAAATTATTCTAAAGAAAGTTACAGTTATCAACATTGTTTCATCTAGTGAACTCAGGGTTGCCAGGAAGGGCAAGGAAAGAATGCAAGAATTGACAGCCCCAGATTCTTTATCTGGTTTTACCTTTACAAGCTCTTCAATTGTTAGGTAGTCACTCAACTGTGCATTCCTCCGATATCCCCAGGAATTTTTGTCTATCGTCATACAGTTTTCCCACTTATGGGGCAAAAGGTGTCCTGGGTTGTAACGATCGGCACATGTGTAATAGCCTCCATGTTTACAAATGCAGTCAGCTCCCCAGCGATCATTTGTTACAACCATGTCCCGAACAGGGCTGGGGAGGGGGAGAATATGTTGTTCAGATACAGTGCTTTATTTTAACAGGAAGCTCAGTAGATTCCATATAAGCAGTTTACTATTCTCGAATGCTTCCTAATAGGTAGGACTTAAAAACAACAACTGATTCAGTGGTACACTCTCTGTGCATTTTCTTCTAAATCAAATATTTTAACCTAGGTGATTATGCACTTCTGGATGTTTAAAAACAGCTAACACTTGTGGATACTATACAAAACCACAACCTCATTGTTTCTGCTCTAGCATGCTACACTTGTGGGGATTCTACATGTATTTGAAAGTATTTTCTAACTTAGAAATGCCAGTGTCTTTAAAAAGCCAATCCACTTCAAGCACCAAGACTTTTGCACTAGTTTTTTTTTTTAAGAGTGCCAATCCTCTTTTTTTTTTTGAGTATTTGGTACTGGAACTTTGCTTGAAATGCTTAAGCAACATTTTCAATTCATTTTCTAAGCAACTTGGGGCCTTCCTCTACATCTGCCACTGGACAAACACATCCCTCCTGCAACTCATTGGAAATGTGACTTCCAACAACATATGAACAATCAGTGGAAAATCAGAACAGTGGAGAATGCGTCAGACTGAGTTGCATTTAGACCAGTCCTCACCAACCTTGAGTTTCCACAAGTTGTTGCAGATTGTGTGGGCTGCTGTCCAAGAACACCTGAGGGCTCAAGGTTAAGGAAGGCTGGTTTACTTCAGCCTTTGCTGAACTGGTGTCCTCCAGATGTTTCAGCCTACCATACTTCATGACCACCCTGGCTGGCTTTAGTCCATAACATCTGAAGGCCACCAGGTTGAATGAGGCTGGTTTAGACAAATGCTTCCAGCAGAACTGGGTCAAATATCATCAAGTCTTCAAGTATTTGAAATGAAGAAGTCAGGGCACTGGGTTATAAATGTCACTAACCTACTGAAGAAGAAAACTGCACTTGTCCAGGACTCCTAAGCTACAGGTCAGAAATCACAGGTACCTGCAATGACAGCCACATTCCAAAACCACAAGGAACTAGTAGTATGAAGTACAGTGGTACCTCGGGTTACATACGCTTCAGGTTACTTACGTTTCTGGTTACAGACTCCGCTAACCCAGAAATAGTACCTCAGGTTAAGAACTTTGCTTCAGGATGAGAACAGAAATCGTGCAGCGGGAGGCCCCATTAGATCAAGTGGTGCTTCAGGTTAAGAACAGACCTCCAGAACAAATTAAGTTTTTAACCCAAGGTACCACTGTACCCCATTCTCTCTCAATATCTTATTTGGGTAAGTAAATTAGAATTTGTTAACATGAAATGATTAATCAACAGTGAAACCCTGCACATGTTCACTCAGAAGTAAGTTTAGTGGGACTTGCTCCTAAGAACCTGTTTGTAAATGCATCAGCCTGGAGCAATGAGTTGCATGAAATGCCATTAAAAAGCTGTTGGGAAACAAGTTTCTTGCAATTAATAATATTGAATGCAGTATATCAAGGGCAGGAAGTGGGGAAATGGACACACCTGTCATTATAAAGCCAAGCTAGGAAGCCAGTGCTGTTCCAATAAGTGTCTGGGGCATGCCCATCTCCATCTGACCACAGAATCTCTGGGTGGTACTTGTTCACAATCTCATACAGCTCTGGGAGTGACTTGGCACTTGGGAACTGGTTTTTTAGGAACCCACTAGAGGCATCATCAAGGAAAAGAGGATTGAACCATTCAAAGAGCGAGTGATAGAGTCCAAAGTGTAAGACGGTTCTGTTTCTAATGGATGATGCTAATTCAGCCACAATGTCCCGTTTGGGTCCAACTTCAACAGCATTCCAATTCCAAGAATATTTAGATCCCCACAATGTAAAACCTAGGAAACGAATGGTAGAATTAATAAAATAATTGTAATTGTAAATATATCGTGCACCTTTATTTTGCATTCTTGTTTAACCTAATGCTTCTGAAGCTGTTGCTGGAAGCCTCAGGAGGGAAGAGTGCTCTTGTGCTCAGCTCCTGCTTGCAGCTTTCAAACAGGCATCTGTTTGGCCACTGTGAGAACAGGATGCTGGACTAGATGGGCCACTGGCCTGATCCAACTGGCTCTTATGTTCTTTAACTAAAGCATGCTCCGATTTAAATTAGCTGTTTATGGAGTACAGTCCGCCAGCCCTTGCTGTTGGGAATAGACGGCCAAGTGGGAGGCTGGGCAGGTAGGCTGGTCTTTCTTGTGCTTGCTGTGTGCAATGCCTGCCTGGGAGCTGAGTGCTCAGCGCCGAAGGAGAGCCTTTACACCATGTAGGCCCAGTGGCACTCGCTGCCTCCCAAGGTGAGTAAGGTGCTGGCCTCACATTCACCTTGGGTCAGTCTCCATTGGGCTGCTAAGGCTGGGGGAATCCTCTTCCCAGGCCCCTGTGGGGCGGTGTGAGGAGGCACCTCTCTTTGGGACAGCTCAAAGACCAGGGGCGGTGGTGACTGCTGCTCAGAGGACTCCCAAGGAGCAGAGAGCAGGCTGAGGGAACACTCCACAAGGGAGGGTGTTCGAAAACGGGTGAGGGACTCGCAGCTCTGAAGGCAAGAGGTGAAGTGACTGAGCTTCTGAGGCTTGGAGAGTGTTTCCTCACAGGGGAGCCGCAGAAAGAATGTAGTTGGCCAAGGAAGCCATGGACTCAAAATGGTTGAAAACCTCTGTATCTAAGCAGCTGAATGAGGAAGCCCCACCCTGGCTTTTTGTCTGTTGAAACAAACAAAACAACTGTGCTCAGAAAGAAATACATTCAAGTTTACCTTCATGGTGCTTTGAAGTCAAGACAACATATTTGGCACCTGACGCTTTCAAAATGTCTGCCCACTGGTCAGCATCAAAAAACTCTGCTGTAAACAAAGGGCCAAAATCTTCGTAACTGAAACCAGGAGGATAGTTGCTCTTCATAAAGTTTACATAGGGAACTCTCTTTTCTTTCTGCCAATACCACCTACAAAGGAAACAAACAAGCCCATTGTATCTGCACACAAAGATAGAAGCATTCAGAAGTTCCCAAATAAAGATTCAAACATGTTCTGGAGTATAGTCCTGCATCATGGGGCTTTTAGGAAACACAAGAAGCTGCTTTGTACCAAATCAACATGTTTCATTATTATACAACATGTTTCATTATTAGTGATCAATGTATAAGTTCCTGGTTTAAGAATTGGTTTAAACAATTAGGAAGAAGAAAAAAGAAAGGAAAAAGGGGTGAGTGGTGAGTGGGGTGGGGTGTTTATGCTTCTATTATTATACTTAAAGCCTATTCTCATATTATTTATGCCACACATGTGAATGGAGTGAAGAAAAATCAACTGCACATCCTAATCATGATAAGCTTTGCTTTGTCGATGGACGTAAAGTCCAAAGCAATATAAGCCACTTTTGTGAAAATGTTCCTTGCCCTGGAGCTTGTTTGCAGCTTTAGAACTCAGGTCACTTCTCATGCAGCCTGTTTATTGTGCACTCATCTCCATTTATTCATCTGGGGTTAGGGCAAATCCACGGGTTAGGGGGCGCAAATCCACGGGTTAGGAGGCGCCTTGCCCCGGGTGCTGACAACCCACGCTATGCCACTGTGAGGATCACAGCGGACTCACCAGAGGCAGCATAGGAGCCAACCCCTAGGGGCCAAGATAACTTTGGGCTCCCCAATAAAATATTTGAGGGGGCCAGCCCCCCCGACCCCCCGCAGATTGATGGGCATTGCCATTCAAATGGTGTGCGTGCATTATGTCTTGTGATCCATTATCACAAGGCTGCCCTGCCCCCCCTCCAATATTTTATTCCACTTGGTACCCCAGGGGGGCAGCCACCCTCCTTGACATTTCCCACCCCGGAGGGAATCGGCCGGCACGATGCTCTCGGGAAGAAGAGGGGCGGGCAGGGTGAAAGAGCTTGAGCAGTGGGTGGGTGGGGAGCCTCACCAAAACCACTCGCTGCCGAAGCTTGGCACCGAGAAGACGCCCCAGTGGATAAAAATCCCGAACTTGACTTCGTCAAACCAGGCGGGGAGCGGCCGGGAGTCCAGCGACTCCCACGTGGGGTCGTAGCGAGCAGCATCTCCGGGAGAGGGAAGCTGCAAGCAGAGCAGGAGCAGCAGGAGCCCTAGAGGAGCAGCTGGGGAGCGAAGGATGGAGGAGCGCGCCGGCGGAGACATCAGGCAGCAGCAGCAGCAGCAGCAGCCCCTTGGCTCAGCTCCTCCTTTCCTTTCTGCGCCTCGTCTTCACGGGACTCCGGTCAGCTGACCGAGCAGCAGCCGCCGGGGAGACGAAGCAGGGCTGCTTCCGCTTCTTGCGAGGTCTGGATCTTTTTCATTTGCTTTCTCGTCTTCCGGCAGACCAAAATAGTGACTCGCCTTTGGCCGAGTTTGCTTTCCGCGCTGGCCTCCAAACAGGAAGTCGTTTCTGGGAGATGCGTCCTGAGATCGGGTCGAGCTTCTAACCTCTCAAATCAGTGGGGCTACCTGCCGCAAGGAAAACAAAAATTGGGGAGCGTTTGCCAGCCCTTATTGCGAGCACCGACTGTGGTTGAGCAGGCACAGAAGTCCACAGAGCATCTGAAGCCACACACACACACACACACACACACACACACAGCACCGAGACCAGGAGGCCCTTCTCAGTGGCAACGCAGCCCCACTGCGCACGACCTTGGACAGCTCCAGAATAATAACCAACTGCTGTGGTTGTGTCGTGAGGTCATTCCTTCCCCCTCCAACGACCTGCCAGTGGTCTTCTCAACCACCTGGATCAAGTCACAGAGAAAGGACGTCAACTCCCAACACCTCATCAAACAGTTCTGCCAAGTCACAGCAAACAGACCCCATGGCGTCTCATTGCCACGGACCAAGGAGGTGCCACGTAGACCACACATGGAAGAAGGTGCCACCTTCCCAGAGCCACCACCAGAGCCAGGTTCGAGGCAGCAGCCACCTTCTGCAACAACTGGCATGACTGCACTGCACCCATGCCCATAGATAAGGCAACACAATTTCTGGGCTTGGTATACTATGCACTGATTTGGCCCTTTGGTGCAGTTGCCAGATAAGACACACATCTGCATGCGCTTCTTTATGTCTTGTGCAAATTTGTGCACACTTTTGCAGGAGAGGGTGGAGTGCCCCAAAATAAATCAGGGGTTGCATACAAGTCATAAGATGTCCAGCAGACAAAATATCAACAAGTGAAGCTTTCCCCATAATTGTAGTTCCATACTAGAAGAGAATTGCTTTGTTTGATATCTGCCTGCCACATAGCTGATAAAGGCACCACAGCCCCACTCTCCTCCAGTGTCAACCCTAAAGAGTGCAACAAATGCAAGTTTCTGCTTGATGATAGCTCAGTTGGTTAGAGTATGGTGCTAATAACACCAAGGTTGCAGGTTCAATCCCTGGATAGGACGGCTGCATATCCCTGCATTGCAGGGGGTTGGACTAGAAGATCCTCAGGGTCCCAATTCTACAATTCTATGATTCTGTGATTCATGTTATGTTACTGTAGGTCTTTCATCTGCTAGTCTAAGGCTAGCAGTACTACATTTGGTGCAAGATAAGGCATGGTATTTAAGATGGAGGGGGTCAAAAGTGATTCAAGATTTACAGAAATTCTATTTAGAAATTCATGCTTGGATAAATTCAAGATTTAAATAGTTACAAAGCAAGCAGTGTATTCATTTGTTGTGGCTGTTTATTAATAACTCATAATAACTGCTGCAATTCTTTTGAACAAAAAGCATTTGAAACCCCCACTCAGGCATGAAGCCTACTTGGTGCCCTTGGGCCAGTCACTATCTTAGGCTAACTTACTTCAAAAGGTTGTTGTGAGGATAGAATAGTAAGGGGAAGAACGATGAACCCCACCTTGAGCTCTTTAAATAACACCCCCCCATCTAAGTGTTGAGTTGCACCAGCCCACACCAATATGCCCCCCACCCCAAGCATCCCTGAGTTGGACAGGCCTTTGTTTTATTCTAATTTTACTTTTCTGTAAGTTACTCATCCCTTGGGAAGCTTATGAAGGGTGGAGTATATATAAATGTCCAAGCTATTTTATTTATGTGAACAACTCTGCTAGGATATGTGCATTTTAAAGTCTAAATTAGTATTTTTAAAGGAAGGCAGGAGTTTGACAATAAATAATAATACAGCAAAGTGCTCAAAAAGCCTCATTTCAGAGATCCTGTTAATGTATTTTGGTTTGAGAAAGTTGACCTGAGGTTTTTATTTGAAACACAAACTGTTACATTGAATACACACACTAGGATGCCAAGGGGAGTACTGGGTTGTATTGAATTAACTCACTCAGAGTAGGCCCATTGAAATCAATGGCCATGACTCATGTAGGCCCAGTAATTTCAGTGGGTCTGTTATTCAACTGAATAACAACTCACTGTGTTGGCTTACGTTTTACTGCTTTTGTGATCCATTGAAAATGGGTCAAGTTAGTATTCACACTTGAAATGTAGAGGTTTTCAACCTGACTGTGTGTACCAAGTTCTTTTTTCTGATATCTTGAAGTTCAATAAAGTTCTCACATGACAGACAGTCTTACAAATGGAATGATGAATAGACTTGTAAAACTCAAGACCTCATTTAATCAGCTGATTTAATGCATCTAAGAACACAGCCAACTGTGCTCTCTGGACTGTAGGAAACTCAATTTGGAAGCTACTATTTCAAAACTTCTTTGGTAGATGATCCAGCTAGTGTCTTAGACATTTGGCAAGCTCAGCTACCATCATAAACTCATCACTAGGAAGTAAGTACACTTCATTTTTCTCTGTCAAATGTTGGACGTATGTAATTAGCTCAAACATTCACATTTCTGTACTTTGATCCAAAGAACTGCTTTAACCGAGTCCAACAAGAGTGGCTTGTTATAAACCATTTTTCAAACTTCCCTAAAATAATGGCTTCTATGTAGCATGGGGAACTGTTGTTTTAAGGAATACAAGTTCAGAAATCCTTTGACCGTGTGAAACTGTGCAGTTGTCTGATTTCAGCCCTAGAGTTAGTGTGCAATGAATCATTATTAATGTATAAAGAGTGCATGATGCAATTCAATAAAATTAGCTTTTTCTGCATCTTCAGAAACAAACCAGAAGGAGTAATTGCCTCTTGTGTTGTTGGGTCCAGCAATAGGTCTTTGAAATGTGCCTGTCCTTGCAGGCTTGTACTTGCTTTCTGTACATACAAAGTGTTCTGCTGATCACATATAATCCACACCAGGGTCTGTACTGCAGATGGAGTTGGTGAGTTTTGTTCTGTACTCTTTTTTGACCACAATAAATACAGTGGCCTGATTCCCACAACCTGGTAAGCCAAACTATGGCTTAATGGAACCATACAGACTCCTGAATCAACACAGCCCCTTTGCTCCTTCCTAGGCTTTTTGATTCCCACATCTCATGTCATGGGAACCTGGGTTCTCTCCTCATTAACCAAGTTTTATTAAGCTTGGCTTACTGTGTTGTGTGAACCAGGCCATTCTGTCCTGATTTGAATACTATTGAATCCAATCTTGAAGAAACAACAGCCTCGGTTACTGTTCGCTTACATCAGAGAATCACAACAAAACTGTTGAAAACTTGTACATAACAATTATCTGTGTAGGAGTAAGTCTTGTGGCAGAGTGTCATCACCATCTATGGCGAGTAGTTCCACTAGAGGATACATTAACCACTGTGATAAGTAAGCTATAGAGTAATGCAGAGCAGTGGATCCCATTTCAAACGGACACTCATTCATTCATTTGCACAAATAGCCTCTTCTTTGCAGTCATTGTAACAGAGGAAGAATATCTGCAGTTTGCCAGATATTATTGCTGCATCACAATCTTTAGCTACTTGCTGGGTTGCATTTTAAAAAAAACAAATCTTAACAGAAGAGTTAAATCTCACACTTTCCTGCTGCACTTTGCCTTTTTCATACCTGGTGCTAAATTTATATAACAGGAAGTACGCAGATGATCTAAAAACGAACATGTATTCTACAATGCATATTCCGGAGGAAAATTCAAGCCAGGCTTTTTTTAAATTATGAAAACTCCTTAAATGCAAATGCTGCCAAAACTGCCTTGAAGGAGCTGGCTTAGTTTGCTCTCTCACTTGCTCATTCAATTATCTTTGAATGATGAGCTGCTCACATTTAATGCAGCAGAAATGTACCCGTTGTCTTCTATCAAAAGTTGAAGTGCCCATGCCTTTACTGGTCCAACTATGTTTTCCTTGTACTGTACTGTAGGCAATATTTGGCAGGCTCCCACACGTTGAGAGGGAAAGTGCTCCTTAATGGACTGCATTACCATCTTAACCTTATTTGGCATTGACTCCTATTTGATTATTTAGTATCAAGAGGGCAACCTGACCCAGGGAGTAATGCATCATAATCCCAATGGCAATTGCTCAGATAATGATAGAATGACCTACAGAAACTTTTATGGGCGGCAGCAGGCATTTACTAAGGCAGACTGGGCAACCAATGAATCAATTAATTTGCCCCTTCCCATGCTGTGGTGTCTGGAAGATATTTTATTTGCTTATTTGGAAATGTATAAGCAACTGATCAACTCAACTGAATTCCCAAAGCTGAGAACACCAATAAAAACTAACACAATGTGATAACCATTGGCTCCTATAGCACATGGACTGCAAGTATAGCACTCATGGGCATCCATGGGCCTCTAAAGGCCTTCCCTGGTGCTATAAGGTTCCATCCTGTTCAAAAGGAGACTTTTTTCTAGCCTAATTGATCTGCCTGGGGATTTCAGCTGGGGAGGGAAGTTTAAGTCTTCCCCCACAAATGACATTCTCCAGGAAGATCACACACACACACAAACAAACATACCCCAAATTAGACTTGATAAAAAGTCAATACTTTTTTTCATTCCTAAGTGCTGTGTGTGCTTGGTGCCCAAGACTGTTTTTCTGGTTTACAGATGTGCCTGTGGACTCAAAAGGGTTGCTGACCCCTGTTATAGCAAAAAGGACCGTGCATACTTTCTCTGGAAACCCACACCATCAATTTTAGACTTACAGTCATTGTGCTTTCTTGCTTTAATTTATCAGTGCCAAATTGCTGGTGCAAGGTTGGGTATGGAAGAGCCTCAGAGAGGACAGCTGCAGGGCAAAGGTGAAAAAGGGTTTCAACTGTGTTTGGGCATTTTTACCCTTACGCTGTGCCCTTATAAGCACTCAGTTTTCACAAAACAAATCCAAGTATTTATTCAGTTGCCCTATTCATCATAATATGGTGATGTGCCTCATTGATCATTCTTTCAACTCCAACAGCCAGCAATCCTACAAGTAGGCGATCTATGCTTTTTCAAAGTTGGCAGCTGACACTTAAGCTGAAGATGCATCTACACCTTCCTTTTGAAAGGTTTGTAACTCACTGCCTCTAACAGCTCACATGATATAAAAAAGGATCAATCCTTTATCAGCACCATCTGCACAGTGCATATGT